GCCACCCATGACTGCTCAATGACAGTAGCTACCTTCCGTAAGCTTTATAAATGGACGTTTGCTTTCTTTGTTATTGGGTGAAACAGCAAATCATGAGTTGGCATGATACATCAAAGAATTTTTGCAAACCCAGCCCCACCCATATTTCTCTTTTAGCCACACCCTAATCAGAGAAGGCGGGATTAGAGCATTAATTAGAGTAACAGAGCGTGTCCATTTCTCCCCTAATATAATATCTTTGCTTCTATCTTCCTCTCCATTTAGTTACTGATGTATTTGGGTAGGAAGAAGCCGAGTTCAGAGCATGCAGCCCACATCAAGAGGTTCCTTAACATGAACAACGAGCCACTGAGGAGGCTAAAGGCACTTAGGAATGGACTGGGTTTGTTTATATAATAATTATTATAATATTTTACATATATGGGGCATCCTTTTATTCATCCTCCTCTTCTATTTATTTCCTTCCTTTCTCCTTCTCTGCTAGATAAAGTATCAGTTGGTGAGTGTAAGCAGATTCTATCAGAATATTCAGCAGCTGCTTTTTACGTGTTCCATTCCTCGTTCACTATGATGGAGTCACAGATCAGAGAGAGGGGTTTGTTTGTATTCGTTTGTTTATGTCTGTTTGCGGTATGAGCTTTTGTTTGTGTTTTAGTTCAATGGCTAACAAAATAAATAAGGTTTAAAAGATTAATTCTTTTCTCTCTCTTCCTTCAGTTTCAAAAGGGAGAGCCATTAGTGACCAGTTGAGAGAAATGATGGAAGTTATATTACCATCACTTGAGGTAACGACTCTTGTAAATAATTATTATAATGATGTATTATCATAAAGTTAATTAATAAATTAATCAATTATTAGATTAATTAATTACTTTATAAATTATTAATTTTTAACCCTGTAGAGGCTGATTATACTATTGCCCGAACTAGTACAACAGAAGTGGCAGTACAACTCAATATGTGAGCATACAGACACACTCCTATTTATTTATTTATTTATTTATTTATTTACTCCAATATAATGTATTGTTTATCAATCTCATATGAGTGTGTATAGTGGTTATATTATACAGGGTACTAATATAACCTGCTATACTTTATTCTCGTATATTAATTTCTTGACCTTTAGCCGTTTCTAGTTATTGAAGGGTGTGGCTAGGAGACCAATGAGGCCAATATTAACTGATTTAATGTACAGCAGATAATTTGAATGTTTTGGGTTAATTTTTAGAATTGGCATCCATTGTATTATTCAAACAGCTAAAATTCACAAATATATCAATCAGAATTTAATAAAAGTTTTTACGCTATGCACGTATATGTATGTAAATTAGAAAACACGGAGTATTCTTGTAGATTGTGTATTGATTTTTTAAATTCTTTAGGTCTTATAATTAGGAAGTTACTTCATCCTGACAACACAATAGAGGTACGGTAACATTAATTATAAATATAATAATAATTATTAATATTATTAATATTATTATTACTTTATTATTAATGATGTAGTTGAGACAATATGGTATCAAGCTGATAGTCCTCTGGTTGCAGTCCTTACAAGATAAAGCAGGAGACGCTTGTATTGAGCTATTGGCCTCGGCCATCCCTCACTTCCCTCCCAAGAAGACACCACTGGGACTACCCATGGAGACCACACCCCTAACCACACCCTCATCATCACACTCACTCTGCGAGAGATACGGGCGGTATTCAAGTAACGAGACACCTCCTGATCGCCATGGTAATGAAACTCCTTCCCTATCACAGTTTTAATTAGTTTTAGTTTTGTATTGAAATTTATCGAGTGATTTTTACAATGCCAAAAAGTGTCAGTATATTAATAATAATGATCATAATTATAGGAGCTAGCTAAAATTAAAGAAAAATTGATATCATTTTAAAATCCCAAAATTAGTGCATGTACATGTACAGTGTATATCAGTTCAGTTTTTAACCCTTTGTGTACTGTGTTATTGGTATTTTTAACCCTTTTAGACTGGGTATCGACGAGGATTATTCAGCCGTTATGTGTGGCACAGAATGTATCGTCAGATCCAGCTCTTTCACTAATGGAGTACCTACTGACCACACTTACCACTCAAGTAATGGAGGAAGGGAGGGAGGGAAGATAAGATATACTTGTACATGTACTGTATAGTGCTTGGGGAAGCATTCCATCAAAATCCTTTTTTTGTATTTGTCAGTAATTTGTTATCATTCTACTATGATCCATGAACTATAGAATGTTGATATTTTGTGTCACATTAAATACATAAATTGACAAAAGATGGAATTGATGAATTTTTTTGCAAAAACAATGGCGCGCTGTATATATGTATGTAGAATTTTGCAATGTTTTTAAATGTATATTGTATCTACATGCATTTAACTGTCTATTATTATTTTTCATTTTTTGTTGATTCTTATTCTTTTCTCTCTCTCTCTCTCTCTCTCTCTCTCTCTCTCTCTCTCTCTCTCTAGGTTGGTAGATTAAAATGGACTGATCCTGCTAATCACGCCAAAGGTTTCTCGTTTTTATTCTTTCAGTTTAAGTTGTTTTACCTGGTCTGCCTCTACAAGAACTTCAGATCTGATGCCGGACTCTATTCACCAATACCTCCTCCTACCATTAGTAAGGGACAGTCAAGTGTTCTCTTTTTAAAGTGCATATGTAGAAAATTCTTTCCTAAGCAAATACAATGCATAACCCAGCCATGGTCTTGAGTTGACCAAATTTTGAGCAACTTTAAAAATTCATAAAAAATTCAATTTCGATCGGAATTAGCTTAAAGTTTCTACACGACATAAGAGCATGTATATGTATCAGAAAAAATTATAAAAATGAAGAATTCTCTCCTAGTCATATTTGGTGAAATTTGGCCAATGACCCTGTACTATTATTAGTAACGCGGTAGCGTTACTAAGTAGGATTCACCCCACTTCAAAATGGCTGCCACGACTTTTGCAGCCTTGCTATACCGGGAAAACGAGCTCCTATGCTTACCAGACTTTATAGAGGACCTCATCTTGACCAGAGGACTCCATTGGTACCACTAGTGTGGCTCTAAACCTTGTCTGAGAGGAAAGCCAAAAATCCGGAAAACGGCCGTTTTGTTCAGCCACCTTTTTTCATCTTCATCATCATCATCATCATCATCATCAAGTCCTGTCGAT